ATTATAAATTCACTGGATAGATGACACATTCAATACAGCTAGCCATACAACAACAACAAAACTAATGAATTGTAAGAGCAATCTGAAAAGATTGCCTAAAAGAAGCACTGAGATAAAAATATAGAAGATAGAATGGCTACAGGATTATGAGGGGGATGAAGTTCAACATACATCCAATAGGGCTTCCAGGAGGAGTAAAAAGAATAGGGAGGTCCATTATTTGAGGAGCATATTGACTGAATTCAGTGAAAATGATGGAATTTATACAACTGAAGGAAAATGTGAATCTTCATATTCAAAAAAGTACAAGTCCTTATCAGGAAACAATAAATATAAATTTAGTTGTATCTAGACTCATTGTAATAAAACTTAAGAACACCAAAGAGAAAGAAAAGGACTTAGCAGCCAGGGAAAAAAGATGGAACCTACATCAGAATGAAATTACAGTGGTAGCAGACTTAAAAACATCAGTACAGTCCAGAAGATAAGAGTAATATTTTCAAAGTGTGGAGATAAAATAATAATCAACATAGAGTTTTATATCCAGTTAAACCACTTCCTAAGAGTGAGGATGAAATAAAGACAATTTCAGGTAAATACCAATTATTACTAAACTTAATATGTCATGTAGAAGAAAACGGAATTCATAAAGAGAGAATCAAAAATCAAGATGGAGGGGCACCTGGGTGGCTCATCTGTTAAGCATCTGCCTTCAGCTCAGGTCATGATCTCAGGGTCCTGGGATGGAGCCCTGTGTCAGGTTCTCTGCTCAGTGGAGAGTCTGCTTCTCCCTCTCCCTCACTCCCTTCCCTCCCCCTGCCTCCCTCCCTCTACTCCCCCCTCCCCATGCTCTCTCTCTTAAATAAATAAATAAATAAATAAATAAATAAATAAATAAATAAATAAAATGTTATTTTTTTTTAAATAAGCGGAAGTAAAACTCTAGACAGCAATGCGGACATGTGATGAAATAAGTCAGTTATGCATGTTGATATTTAAAGGTAATCACTAAAACAATAAAAATGCAACATACAATTTTCAAGCTGATGTAAGCAAACAATAAGTGCCAGAAAGGAAGAGACAAAAATGTAGAGGAATGCAAGGCAAATAGCATTAAATAATACAGGAAAAATAGATCCAGATATACCGAGGATCACAATAAATGTAAATGGAGTAGATGGCCTCAGTTAAATTCAAGGATTATTATAATAGATTAAAAAAAAAGCAAAACAAACCCCCGTGAATTGTGTTTACAACAAGTACAACTAAAACTTAAATTGTAATTTAAATACCCACCAGATCAGCTGGATTTATAGCAAGCAAAATGAATCTTTAGGTATCACAAGAGAGTTGAACCACTCTCTTCAGACAGACTTGCTATGTGCTAGGTTACACTAGTAATTTCCAGGGGTTTAAAATTTATGAACAGTAAAATCCAAGTCATTTGGGAGAATGTGGCAGGAGAAATGACATAAGAGAAAATATTGGTGATATAATATTTTAAGTCAGATGTTCAGTCAGTGAATGGATAAGATTTGGACTCAAATGTAAGTCCACGTTCTAATTGAGACACTTTCTAGCTAGTTGACTTGGGGCAGGTGTATTACCTCTTCAAACCTCAGTGTCATCTATAAAATGGAACCAATAATACCTATCTTTTAGATTGATAAGGAAGAGCAAAAGAAATGGTGAATATGAAAGCATTTGTAACCTGAAAAGCTGTAGATATCATCATATTTTGTTATCCACCTATATCAGTATATGTTTGTTGTATATGCAAATTGAGAGAAATTATTACAATTCACCTATAACCCAGTTAATTTTTATTTTAGTTGTTTGAAGCATCATCATCACTAGAATTGTTTATTTGCCATTAATTCTCATGGAAAGTGTGTAGGTTTTTGGAGTAAACTTAACCAAATTAGAATCTTAGCTTACTCACTATGTAGTCATGGTCAAATGACATCATGTCTCCAAGCCCAACTAGAATTCCTTCCTAGCACAGTTGTTACGAGGAATGGATCTAATGAATGCCATATGTCTAACAAGTAAACGATGTGTGTGGTACATAGTAGGCAGACCATAAATGATCCTGATTATATTATTGTAAATAGACATAACTGTGTGCCTTCAGAACCAATACAATTTTAAGATGTTTTAGTTTTTTTAACCCTTCTTTGATTCGTAATGATTCCATAAGAAATATATTTCTGGGGATCCCTGGGTGGCGCAGCGGTTTAGCGCCTGCCTTTGGCCCAGGGCGCGATCCTGGAGACCCGGGATCGAATCCCACGTCGGGCTCCCGGTGCATGGAGCCTGCTTCTCCCTCTGCCTGTGTCTCTGCCTCTCTCTCTCTCTCACTCTGTGCCTATCATAAATAAATAAAATTAAAAAATATATATATTTCTGTATAATCAAAATATCTATTAATAAAAACACTCCTGGGGCACCTGGTGGCTCAGTCAGTTGAGCGTCTGCCTTCAGCTGAGATCATGACCCCAGGGTCCTGGAATTGAGCCCCACACTGAGGTCCCTGCTCAGCCAGAAGTCTGCTTCTCCCTCTCCTCCTCCTCTTCCCCCAGCTCATACACTCCCTCACTCTCTCTTTTTCTTTCACTCTCTCAAATAAATAAATAAAATCTTTAGAAAAAAATATTTCCTTATCCAAACATGTCAATATAGATTACATCTTTCATTCGTCACAAAGTTTTTCTCACCTTGAAAAAAAAAAAAAAACAGGAAATTAGTTCCACATTAAATTTTTATTATTTAAAAACTATGTGCCTTGTATTCTAAGCCAGTAAGGGTTTGAACTGATTTGAGTTAGCAAAACTCACATGAGAAACGTCTACAGTATTGCAGAAAAGATGCAGAATGGCCTGAATCAGGCTTTTCTATATTAAGAATAAAACAAAACATCTGACAAAGTGTAGTAACACCTACCATTTTCTCACATCTCAAACTGTGCTAAATGCTGTTTCTTTCCTTAACAGTAATCAAAAAAACCATGTCCTTAAATTAGTTATTAAGAACAGAGGGCCATATTATAACTCGTAATTTTAATAACCACTAATAATAATAATATTATTATTATTATTAATAGCCCTGCCCCCCAGCTAACTGGTAAAGAGGGAAAAGAGGATGGGAAGAAAGAGTGAGCGCATACCACAAATGCGTTCTGAATACAGGGGAGGGACTGAAGCGGGGTGCACTAGCTGTTATGTAGGAAGCAGCATGTGTCACCTCCCCTTCCATTGGCTGTTTATCCAACATCAATACAACACTTTAGGAGCCAAATTACTAAACAAGCTGCCAATTAGGCTTGCAGTCAGCTGGACAGATTAGCAGCTAAGAGAGGCCGATACAAGATTTTCATCTCTTGAGCCAATTACACCAGTGAATTACCATCCACGATACTCCCTGGAAGATTTTAGGGGAAAGGACTGAGTCACCTGTCACAGAAAGGAGAGATCCCACATCAAGGGGGCTGGGAATGGGGAGCATGCGGGCGGGCAAGCAGGCTAGGTATTGCTAAAATTGCTGGAGCAGGAGGAGAGCCTTCCAGGAAAGGACTTAAAAGATTTAGCACTGCCAGGAGCAAAAGGAAAGGAAATTATGGTTGTAGGAGGCTGTGTGGAGACTGAGTTGTTCCCCTCCTAAGCCTTAATCTCATAAAAAGGATGAGAGACCAACAGTAGATCTCACTCCAGAATCACTGTCCATGAAAAATGAACTAACTGTTGTTAGCTTGTCTTTAAGGTTGCATAGAAAAGCTTTTATTATTATTATTATTATTATTATTATTATTATTATTATTCTTTCAGGAATCCATGCTTACATGTGGAAAGATTTAACATGTGAGAAGTTAGATGTTCTCCCATTTTTTATTGTTTTACTTCAAAGTACAAGATAATGCTTTATCTCATTTTATTTTCATTAAGAAGAGAGATGAAAGCAGCACCTAAAAAAGAGAGTGGGTTCTTTTCTACCCAGATAAAAAACAACAAGGATGGGAGGATTACAGTGGCCAATCTTGGGACCCCCGTGCTGGAAATTATCAACATTTTTACATGGTGATACTCATTCACCATTTGCTGTTCACTTTAGGACTGAGAAGTGACCACAATTTAGCAATTTTTGAAGGGGTGTATTCAACTGGCCTCATATTTTTTTTCTTAAATATTAAACAAACCTTACACCTGAACTTTAGCAAGCTCTTAAATCCAACATATGATAAAATATGATTAAAGAGATGTGTAGCCCAGAGCACCATTAGACCTCTGATGTGATTTGACCTTAGAGATGGAATTAAACTAATTTGTGGCAATTACTTAAAAATCAGGGATATGGGATAGGATTGCTAGTGCACTGTTCAGCCTGACATACCTGACCAGCGGCTGTTCAGAAAACACTAGTTATCCTGGAGGTCTGTTTTGGAAATGCATCTTTTGCCCTGGTCTAGCAGTAAATAATGTTAGTTATGAATTTTTTTATACCTGTCATTGCCATTCAAGCCTTTTGCAACTGAAAGTTTTTTCCAGTACACATTAGGATGCTTGTTTCAGTGAGCTAAGACCCCATTTGACAAGTCCCAGACTGCCTCATTATGTGGTCACCTGGTTCTCATCTATTCCCTGTTACTAATTCAGCAAATGGCAATAGTGCATTTCATTCTCAGTCCTACAATGTACTGAAGACTGAGGCTCTCACAATGTCCAATAAATGGCTTTGAAAATCAGCTGATGATAGCAAATGAATGTCCATTATTAAAACTTATTTCTAGCACTTTGCACTTTCTTTCTTCTACAAGTCAGAATCATGGGAAGCAGTCCACTTGCTCTCCCCCAGAATGCCAGATACAAAGCACCACATAAAATAAACTTGTTGGAAGAAAAACTTAGGAGAATATGATTTTCTTAACTTGAGAGAATCTTCACCTATGTCTGTACTAATATGGTTTGGGGGCTTGTTGTGTTTTTTTGTCATTTTTTTAATTTCAGGATTTGTAGGGGAAAACGCTCAGCCAATCCTAGAAAACAACATTGGAAACCGAATGCTCCAGAATATGGGCTGGACACCTGGGTCAGGCCTTGGACGAGGTGGCAAGGGGATCGCTGAGCCAATTCAAGCCCTGCAGAGGCCGAAAGGATTAGGTCTCGGATTCCCTCTTCCAAAAAGCACCCAGGCGACTGCCACTCCCAATTCAGGAAAATCCGCCTAAGAAGAAAAGCAAAGAAGAAACGGTTCATCATTTTTATTCATGATATATATCCCATTGTTTTAAAATTTCAACATAGCTTCTGTTTTTGAAGCAAAAATCTACATTGCCTCCAACTTATCACTCTAGCGTCATAACTGCATACAGTCCTGCCACAGTGATAGAAATGGGGTTCCATTGCAATTCCTGGTGCTAAAGTGAAAACCTTTACCTTTTAAAATTTTGCAGCAATTTTCAGCTATTTCTAGGTATAAAGAAGAGCTCATTTCTCCTATTTATTTTGATCTCATAGGTCAATCATTTCTAGCTTGATTCATTCGTGTGTGTGTGTGTGTGTGTGTGTGCGCGTGTGCGCGTGTGCAATGCCCAAGCAAATGTGAGCACACCCACAGGTTTCTCAAATGGGATAGGCCAGAAAGGATGGTGTTTCCAATCATCCCAAGAACTTGAGAGACTTATCATCACATCAGTGAAGTCCTAATCAAGTCTTTGTTTGAAAGGCTTGCCAATTTCACATTCCTCAAATTTGGCCTTTTTGTGAGGATTCTATAATGGGGTGGTACCAATGAATCTATCCTTGGACAATGTAGTATAAAGTTCACAGTGGAAAAATAGCAATTAATGTTTCCCTCTGACGTTTTGACCAAAATAAACCTCATCATTGTTATCACCAGAGTGCCCACAACATGACTTCAATGCAGATTTTACAAATTTTACCTCATCTAGAACATAAAATAATGATTGAAAGAAAAATGTATTTTTTAAATTTACCATCACTGAACTGGAAATTCTGTTGATCTAGACTGACTTCTACCTCTCTCTTCCCAAAGGTTGATATTTTTTTTAAGATCGGTGCAAAGGTGGTAAGCTAATTTTCAATTTTAACCATTGGGGTAGCCTATTAGGATTACTGGATCAATTAATTTGAAAATTTAAATGGCTCTCCCAAGAATTCAGAATTCTGGCAATGATCCAGCCCATTTACAAGGTGAACAAGAGAATGAATGGTAATGATTTGCCCTTTCTAACATCTAAGTAGTTACTTTAAAATCAAGCAAAACAAGTCATTTTTATTATGTGCCTCCTATTGTTATTTTTGAATCATCTGCTTCATAATGCCAGAGATTCTAAATTGCTGTTAGCTTGGAAGATGTTGATCTTCATTATTAAGGACTGATAATATATTTATAATGGCTTTTATTGGTTGAGTAAAGGTCAAAATAACACATGAGAATCACCTTTCTAATGGAGTTTTTTAAGACTTATTTTTTAAGAGCATTTTTAGGTTCTCAGAAAAATTAAGAAGGTATAGAGATTTCTCACATACCCTCTGCCCCCACACATGTATTATCAGCATCCCCCACCAGAGTGGGACATTGGTTACAATTGACAAGACTACGTTGACACATCCTAATCATCCAAAGTACACAGCTTACACTATAATTCACTCTGGTCTTGTACATTCTATAGGTTTGGATAAATGTAAGATGACATGGATCTGCCATTACATTATCACACAGAGCAGTTTCACTGTCCTGAAAATCCTCGATGCTCCATTCTAGTAGGTTTTAGAAAATTTTGCACATCCCCAAGAGTTTTTTAAAGTGGGGAGAGGAGGTTTGTGCGGAGAGTATAGACCTTTCCTAGGTGGTCCCCTAGCAGTCAGCTGGGGAGAAGGGTCATCCTGCCATTTGAGAGCCTCTATGTTTGCGAATTGTACATGTTCCTTTTAAGAATTACCTTCTTTCCTAGGGATATTGTGGTAAGAGGACAGGTTAGTTAAGGGATTATAGACTACCAAGTGAATAGCTCTTTTGAGGCATTCTTATTAAATAGAATAACCCTGTTGAATCTTTTATGTTTGTCTCTTTGAAATCAGCCATTTAAAAAATTTTTTTTAAAAATTTTGTTGTTAAATACTCATTCTAACTATGTAATGGGTAAAACCTGGAGGAGATCATCCATATACCAGGTAAAAACTTCTTTATGATAGTGTATAGTGCTCTAGGGTCTATTCAAAGTATTTTTTTTAATTCATTGCCTGAAAATCTTCTAAAACCCTAGAATTTTGAAAAGCAGAATTTGGAGCCACTGATAACACACAGTTACATTATTATGAGACTAGTCCCAAACTCCTGAAGACTTGGCTGTTCTTTTTCATTCTGCGATGTTCTAACCCTCATAGGAAGAGCAGAACATATACCCACTGGTATGGGGAAACTCCTTCATTAAATATCACAGTCTTTATGAGCATGGTGTATCGTTTCCCCTTTGAAAAGGCGGTAGTCATCGGAAGCAGCCCCTCTGTGATGCTCACTTAGCTTGGGTGTTGTTCTCGAACACTCCCTCCAAGTTAGTTCATTTTCAGCAAGCAGAAGAAAGGTCTTATTCTTGATGTCTAGAGTCCCTCTATGCAGCTCTCGGAGGACTTAAGATATTTTCTATGTTACAGAAGTATTTAACTATACCAAACACATGAATCAATACTCAAAGTAGAGAAGTGACAACATCTCCCGCCCCACCCATCCCACACACACAAACATACATCAGAAGCACGTACATCCCTTCCCCATTCAGTCCTCAAGAAAAATCAGTGCAGACCTGATGTTCTGTTTGTACCCAAACGTAACTGGAGAAATAATTAAAATATTCCATTTTTAATGTAAATCAAATCTCTTTTTAAGATATTAAGCTCACTAATATGTGTTTCACATATAGTTAATTTTTACCTGTTACTATGCACACAGAACCCAAAGCATCCAAAGGAATTCATGATTTAGAATGCACATTCAGGTCTCCTTAGAAGGTGGTAAGATTTTTCTCTGCTCATATGTGAAGCCACTTGTCTATGCTACAGTATCTAAAGCCCAAAGTCAAATGAATCAGTCATGCCAAAAGCTTTAGAGAATACATAGGTCTCTTCCTTTATAAATATCCATCCCTAGCTGTACCCCGGAGAGGCTGAACATGACTACCTTAGCAGTTCCACTTTTTTCTTCTTTGTATACATATTATACTTGATACTGATGAGACCGTGTGATCGGGTCATTTCCTTCCCGCCTTCCCTCCTTCCTTCTCTCCTTCCTTCCCCCAAATATAATTTTCAAGGCTAGTTTCCCCTCAAATTTGTTTGCTTTCATTTTTCAGTTACATGGTACCCCTTTAAAAAAACATAACTAACTAAAATTTACCAATTAATTAGTCTCAATATTTAAATACATAGATTTATAACTCATTCTGTGGTTATCAAACCGAAGTTAAGACAGTCGGGTTAAAGATATGCATAATGTATACTTAGAGGTGTGTTTAGAGGGCACATATGTATGCAATAAACAGACATGGTTGCAAAATATTGCATTTTATTAATGTTTATTTTAACATCGTGAATTGATATTCTTGTAATTAATTGAACTGACAGTTGCTTCTCTTCAACACATTTTCATTTTGCGCTAATATTTCATGAAAGAGAAAACCATTTCTTCCTGTATTTTGTCTTTCTAAAAACAAAAAGTGATCTAAATTAGTATTGTAAAATGAAGTTGGTTAGCAAAGAGTATTTTGGATTTTTTTTTAGGTGTTTTTTTTTTCCTTTTGGTAGAAAGCTATATTAATAGTACAACGAAGAATGAGAAAATAAAACAATGTTTAAAAATGTTATTTATAAGCAGTCATTGTCTTTGTGTGTTAAATGTTTACCTCTTGACCTTAAGGTAATAAAAGATAAGAGTTGAAAGTACTTTTAAAAATATTTAATTACTACCCTTTGACAATTAAGATCTAACAATTAAATTCATTGTTTAATTTCTAATCCCTGGGAAATTTCCGTATTTACAAAAAATTTTAGAGAAAAAAATTGGCAAACATATTTGAGTGATGAAAAACATATTTATATTGGACTGATGAAAAACATATTTATTCCCAGCTGACTGTGACCTGTTCTATTACATTTTCGTCATGTGTTTATTATCTCCGAAGTTGGGCAAAACTGACTGATTCAAGGCCCTCCTACTCAAACGTTGTCTGATTCTCAAAGAGCAAGTACACATTCCTCTCTCTGGCCACTCGAAATGTCACTGAGAATCCTATACATTCCAGTCACTCCATTTCCCCCTGGAACATTGTACCTTCCACAAACGTGCTTGGATATTTTAAATACTCTGTGATACTAAAGTGTTGAGTTTTGTTTGCTTGTAAGAAGCATCTCGCTATGTTGATAAAATTTTATCTTCTCTCCTGAAAGACTAGAGTTGTTAGAGTGAGTAGCTTTTTTTTTTTTTTTTTCCAGTAGGTATTAAATACTCATTTATTTAACAGGCTTGCAGTAATATATACTCAACTGACAAGTGGACCATGAAGGCTCCTTCTGCTGGGTTCCTACTAAGCAAAGACTCATTACTTTACACACCTGACATTTTAAGTAGATCCAGATTTGTCTCTAGTGAGCCAGTGCCATTAACTGCCAGGAGTATGATCTACTATTGCCACTTTTAGTTTTATCTGTACATTAGAGTTGTCTTCTGTCTTTGAATTGTCAGTTTAAATCATTCCCAGATTCACAGACCTCACTCCTGTTTCGTTATCAGAACATCCTGTGTTTACCCCTTAATCTTTCAAGGAAGAAGTTGGGAAACAGTTGAAAGCGATTTTTGTGCTTGTTAAGTTTCTTGGGTTTGTTTTGTTTTGTTTTGTTTTGTTTTGTTTTGTTTCTTTGTGGTTCGCGTTTTCAAAATAAATCACTAGAATTTTGAATGTGTGTGTGATACTTGATTTTTCAGGTATAAGATGGTAGAGATAAGACTATTATGATAGTATCCCAAATAAAAAGACAGCGCCCCCAACAACTATTTTCTCCCTATTTTTCATCTTTTTTATTAAATTTCTAAGAAACGTTTATTCTTCCTGGAGGCAGCATTCTTTAGTAGAGGCAGAGAAGGTGAGAATCAGTCTGCTAACTCAACATGTACTTAAAATATGCTTCCTACAATAGCGATTTCTTACATCCCTTATTGAAGTGGCTTCTTCAAATGCTAGAATTTCATAATTACGGTAAGCAAATGAGTTTGGGGTGAGGATGGGAATTCGGGTCTGTCAGATGGCTGTGTGGTGAATCTGTCATTCTCAAGTTCTCTGTGGATGGCTGTAATTCATTATGGAAACAACAGGTCATCCACGGTGCACGCACCAAGTATGAAACTCACAAATAATTTTTTACGTGGCTGTGACGCACTTGGGAGCACACATTCAGGGTGTGAGATCTGAAGTGCTGCAAAACTACAGTATTTCGAGTACAACAGCTATCGTGTCCAGGCTCTCCGCAGTCAGTATAACAAGGTCCATAATTTGTAAGGCTTGGTTCTTGATCCTCGCACAACTTTCCATGCATCTCCTGTTATGGCACCACTTCAGATTCCTTCCCACACATCTGAGGCTACTGCACGTGTTTTAATCTTGCAAGACAGCCTTCCAAAATGAGGGAACAATTGCCATGCACACAGGAAACCAGCGTGCTTTGACTCCCATGCCATTGTATTTCTCCATCAGGTCCCTTAACAACTCAGCTAGAAACAAGCAGCAGATTTTTCCCCCCACTCAGTGAGTAATTGTCTGCGCTGCAGTGACAGATGTGCAATATAGCAGCTTCTTCAGGAAAAAATTAACAGTTTGTCCAGCATGTCAGCTCGCTCTTTTTAGTGCTTGGGAGGTCTTGGCCCCATTATGGATGATTTAGAAATTGAGGCAAGCAAAGACCAGCTGCCTGTGCTGAAAGCCTTCGCCAGTCTCCCTCATCTGCATTCCAAGACTCGCTCACATCCAGAAATTGGTGGAGCCCCTCTGGCCACAAGATGAGTATGGGCTGACAATGCCTTGATTTGTTGAGAGAGAGAATAAATGGGTTTTTCAGAAGATGAGGAAATATCACCATTACTGGCCAATTTGCAGCATTTTATCTGTTCTTCAAACATGTCACTTTTGTTATTGTTGCATGGTAATTACATAGTGAAACGGAAAGAAAACAAATTCTGGTTACGTATTCAGATGGATTGCAAAATCATATAATCCTGATAAATGCCCATTTATGATACACACGGATGAAAGGTTCATTTTAATTTTGAAGGGCTAGCTCAGCCATAAATGGGATATAGGATTAAATCCCAGAGAATCTTATTACATAAAAGCAAATAGTCCTTCCCTTTACTTCTTCAGATCCAGGAAATTTCAAGGAGGGACCGTAAAGCATTCCCGCAAACACGATTTTCCAGAGACAATACAAAAAAAAATGAATTCAGGATTGCATTCTGGAAAGAAAGAGAACTTTCAGCGAAACCAGGGAGTTCTCTCATCGCGAGGATCATCAGGCAGTCAGTCCTGAAGGCTACTCAGAGATGCAAGTTGGGCCTCTGCTGAAATATTTCTAGCTCAGAGGAATGGCCTTGCATTTTGAAGCTCCGGTTCCTGCTCACTTCTGCAATCTTGCCAAACATTTGGATGCTAGAAATCAAATGCTTTTCTTATGTCCCTTTTCTAAGAGTATTTCTCCCCCCATTCCCAGGACCCACTGTTGTAAATAAGCGTTGCTGGTGGAAGTCCAGCTGAACATGTAGATAATGCAAAGCAAGGAAATGTCAAGGAACAAGGGGACCAGCACCTTTAAGTAGGATCACTACTTAAAGTGTTAGTGTGTAAAATCGTGAGTCTTTGCTTAGTGGGAACCCAGCAGAAATAGTGTTCATGGTCCACTTGTCAGATGAGTAGATACTACTGTAAACCTGTTAAATGAGTATCTAATACCCATTGGCTCCAAGTATGCTGTGATAGGGAAAGAAGAGGCACACCAGCTCTGAACCACCTTGGCCTGAGGGGAACATAGAATACCCTACTACCACGTCTGGCACACAGAAGGTGCTTTCAGTTTGGTATATTTTTCTGTTTCTGATGAAGGGATAAATTGACTTTTTTTTTTTTTATGTACTCTTCTGGCTGGGGAGGGAAGGTTGGAGAGAAGTGTTAACACATTTTGCCTTCACAGCAATTCCTCAATAAAGACGATGATACCCAACAGTCCTCCTAATTTCATAGCCATTGATGAACATGCCCTTAATAATAAACGTTTGCCATGACTCCAAGTATTAGGTTTTTAAAAATCCATTCAGGGTACTTGGGTGTCTCAATTAAATAACAGACTCTTGATTTGGGCTCCAGTCATGATCTGAGGGTCATGAGATCGAGCCCCGCATAGTGCTCCTTGCTGGGTGTGGAATCTGTTTGAGATTCCCTCCCTGCCCTTCCCTTCCCTGCTCTTGCTCCCTCTCTCTCAAAATAAATAAAATAAAATAAAATAAATAAAATAAAATAAAATAAATAAAATAAAATAAATAAAATAAATAAATAAAATAAAATCTACCATGGCTCTCATTTATGGTACTTGTCCTACAGACCTGGGAGGCACAGAACCCATGCTCAGGACTCTAAGAAGAGCTAATGCTTTGACAAGTTCCTCAGATAGGTTGCTTGCTGAAGATATTTAGTTGAAATTCTGTCTTTTCACAGAATCTTTTTGAGAATGCATTCTAGAACAGGGCCTACTAAACTAGGCCCTCCCTGAGAATCACCAGGGAGCACTTCAAACATTGAGGTTGTCCAATGGCACTCTCCAAAAGGCATCTGAGTTTGGGTGTGCAGTTGAGAAAGACTGTCCTGGAAGAACCAGAGTGGGTCATCCCCAAACCTTTGCTACATCAAAGCCCGTCTCCTACAATGGACCCTACTGGGTCATCTGCCCCACCTCTCACCTTCTGAGAACTCTCCTCAACACCACCACCCTCCCATCCTTTCCCAAAGGCAATGCCTAGGAATTGAAAATTAGGGGATTTAATTCTGCCCTTAGTGTCAAAGATCTCTTGAATGGAGAAGCAATGAACAGGGAAGCAGAGGGAGGCAATGTGTTAACGAGGTAAAGCAAGGAACAGAGGAGCAGAGGATGAATGAAGATGAAAACAAAAGCACCAGGTCTCTCCCACAGCCCTTGAGCCTGTTAGATGCCCTCTTCAGAAAAGACTAGAAGTCTGTTACAGGGAGGGTGGGGAAAACAACACTTTTCTGCAGGAGAATATGACATGCTTTCCACAGGACTGGCCTCTTCCATTCTTGGGCAGTATACGTACTTCCTGGGCCTAGACATCTTATTAGCAAACAGATAAGTCAGAGGGTGAATCGTTCACATTACACAAAGATTTTTCATGTTGTGAAAGAGCACAGGGTCCCTTTAGGTAGCATTTTCTCAAGTGCTTATTTACAGATCATTAAATACTTAACAGAGGGAAAAAGTAAAAGCTAAAGTGCTTAAGCCAGTATTTATTAAATATCCATCATAGATTCAGATAAAGCAAATCTAAAATCATAATGACAGTTAATTGTCCAGTTTGGGGATTTTTATGTTAGCAGACAGGAGGCTAAAATAACAGCCTGCCCAGGTTAATACAGGACTCCTGAGCATTCTTCCGTGGTTATAATTCTTTTCTGAGGGCTTAGCCTCGGTCCCATAAGACACCCCTTTATCTTACAATAAATGTCCTTTTTTTGTACAAGTTAAGCTTTCTGTTATTTCCATAGAGTACTCATTTTCTGCTGGATGTTGGCTAATATATAAATGTATTATAAAACACCAGAAAGTACTACCATAACTTGACCAGCTGAATTTTCTCTGATTGTGCAATCATCTAAGAATTTATAGTTTTAAAGGAACTATTACACCTTATAATGCTTTAATAAAGTTCCACCTTGTAGCAATGGAGTATTTTAAATGACTTGGCCTCATTTTCCTTTTCTTTTTTAAACTGAGTCCAACTCTATCAAATTGTAAGCCAGTGAGTGGAAGAGGACCTTCCTGTCTGTGGAAGAGGCCCATTACCGCAAAGGACTTTCAGAAGATTGAAGAATTCTGAATATTAGTGACTTTATTTTTTAAATATGTTAATAGATATTGAACATATAACATTTTTCTCTGAGCTGTTCTACAATTTTTATGTGTCACAGAGTAAGGAGAGCATGTTGAATCTGTAAAATATGATTAGAAGCCACTTCTGCGGCCTTTCCATCCCATCTTACAGCTACCTGGTAATCACACTCCCAGACTACTGAGTTCAGCCGGTTCGTGAGAGGAAATGGTTGTCACTGCTGAGATGGTTTCCCTTGAAATCAGCAACTGCCCTGTTTCCCCATCCAGCTCATCACCTGTCTCCAGCCTATCAGACAGGAGGTCCAGGACCCACTCTATAGGGAGAAAGAAGAAAAGAGAAGAAAAGAGAAGAGGAGAGGAGAGGAGAGGAGAGGAGAGGAGAGGAGAGGAGAGGAGAGGAGAGGAGAGAAAAGAGAAGGAGAGGAGAGACAGAGAAAGAAAAGAAAGATGGGCAGAAAATAGAAAGCAACCCTCCAGCTCCCATGATTTGTTTTCCTTTCACGTCTGGGACCCCGGGGCAATGCTACAGCAGAAGGACCACTGGACCAGAAGTTGGCAAAGCTGTATTAAAATTAGGTGCATCTCTTACCTGTTCAGACACTCCCCGAAACTGTTCTGATTCTGTATCCAAATTTATAAAATAAATAGATTGGATAGGGAAGGGGATTGATATTTCTGAGTACCTACTCTGTACTGGGGGTTTCATACATAATTTCCCTATGAACCTCACAAAAAGATATTGCTACTT